AAAAACGCTCAATGATTTTTTATTTTTTATTTTCAAAATACATTGTAGGGATTAATCATTTCCTAATACAAGTTTAATCTGCAACTGAGTCAACAAGGACTTGAGATTTTAACTTTAATTCTTTAATGATGATAATTGTCATTTGACATTACCATTTTGAAGTTGAATTCGGTTTATTACATTGATTTTTTCTCCTTCTGTTTGAGTTTTTTTCTTCTTCTTCCCCTTCTTCTAAATCTTATCCTTCATATTCATCTTGTAACTTCTTGTAGACATTTCATTTTCTAAAGATTTTGTCTTTAGAAGAATGACTTCCATTTTTACATCTTTTATTTGCTCTTAGTTGTTCTTGTGGTGTCAATAATTGATTGAATTTCTTTTTCAATTGAGAGTCTTCTATTCTCTCAATTACTTCTCGAATTATTTTTTTGTCTTTAATAAAAATATTGATCGATTCGTCTTTACAATTACTTTCAATGCATTCATAAATTTCTTTGTTATTACTAGAGCTGGAAGAGTCAGCACTTTCATCAAAATATGAACATTCTTGATTTTGTTAAATTTGTTAATAATCCGACTCTGAATTTTCTTGAGAATTGTAAATAATCAAATTTAAAAATTCATTCTTGATATCTTCACTTATTTGAAGATTTAAAATCTTGTTAAAAAAAACCTAAAAAACAAAAGTTGAAAAAATAAATTGTAAAATATTATTTTGAAGAAGAAAATCTAAAATTCTAAAAAATAATTTTCTAAAATAAAAATTGCGAAAAAATAGGATTCTAAAAAATTCTAGAGAATAAAAATTATAAAAACCAAAAAATAAAAGTAGCTCAAGCTCTTATTGATTATTGAATTAAAATTCTAAAATATATATTAAATAAACACGGATAAAAAATTTCAATCTACGTCATTAATTTAATTTAAGTCAAAGTTAACAATTAATTTTATTCACATATTTTATGGGACCTACAACATTTTAACCACATATTTTATTAATTTTTATCAAAATCTACGTAAAATATGATTATTAGCCATACCAAACAGGGGATTAATGTAGTGCCTGGGCAGTGCCATTGCTGACTAAATAAGTGGCATAATCATTTCCAGCAAGAGCCACAAGAACCAGTGAAGATTGCTAGTCCCATTTCGTGTATACCGAATCATTATTCAAGAGTTTCTCAAAGAAATCGATTCGGGTGCTCATATTTGGTAACAAATAGTAAGTATTGAACATGCCACTCCCCCCATAAGCAAAGTTCATCCCACTGGACAGCCTTTCTCTCCTAATTTCATCCATTCGTATGCTATTGGAGACTTGAGTCTCAAGAACTTGGCTGTCCAATTTATATGAGCATCATAAATTAGAAGAGAGCTAGTTATGCACTAGCCATGTATTTGAAGTTATATACAAAAAAATGCATAAACTTTCTAAATTGTATCATTAGTTATGAGTTTCATGATTCTTGATTAATTTTGAGTCGACGGTATATACTAATGTGAGAATGAGATACTTGAAACGGCCGTAAACTTTTGTTACTTTATCTTTTGATATAGGTTGGGCCATTACTCATGCATAATATAGACTATAGATGCAAATTGTTCATTTGGGGTGTTGGAGTATGTTTGGTATGTTAAATCGAGTTAATATTATTATTTATATGTTAATATAGTATTAAACTAGAATATGCTAAAATAATGTAAATTAGGGAGTGGAAGACTAAATTATATTGAAAAAGGGTTTATTGGAGTCATTGTGATTAAGAATAAGTGAGTGAGACATTAATGAAGGCTGGAAGTGGATATGGATTAAAGTATTAAATTTTTAATGACAAAACAAAAGCTCAAATGAAAAAAGTAATAATCTTTTTGAGAAAAGATGAAATAATTCAGACAAGAACTGATGAGAAGAAAAAGAAAAAATAAGAACCAGAGCATAACCACTGAATAATGCTACAAATATAGGAATTAGTACTTCATTGGCGTGGGGTCACAACCTATTCACCTTACAAAAAGTAACCTACCTCAGGCATGTGTTTAAACATGTAAAACGAGAAAGCAAAAGTAGAATGGCACAAAAATAAACAATCACAATTGAAAAAAAGGATATTAATATAAAAAACAAAAAGGAAGATAGAAAATGTGTGGAGTCTACTGTACCAAGGTAATCAGTGAGAACGCAGCCATAGGAGAATCGGCCAACAGGTTTTCCGGGAAAGGTAGTATCATAGGGTTCCTTTCAAGAGTTTCCTCTCTTTCGTAGGGATTAAAATTAGTTTTTTAGTAGATTTTGATAAAAATTTTGAAATATCTGATTCAAAAGTTGTGGGACCCTTGATATATGTAATTAATAATAATTATTTAACTTTGACTTAAATTAAAATCTAATTTAAATCAGTACCAAATAGGGTTTGAAAGACTTCCTAACATTACCTGTGTCAACATAGGAGCCCCCAAATACGAATAGTTTTTGTTGGTAGAAAACTTTATGGTGATGATGATGAAGACGAACATGATGAGGCGAACCTTGCACACATATACTACAAACACATAAATAAACACATAGATTTATATATGATGATCATGACCACGATGATGATGAAGATGAATCTTAGAGACGGACCTGTACCAGTTGTGGTGAGGAGCAAGCAATGGAACAAGGAAGGAAAGAGATTTGAGAGTTCCATTGAAAGGATGTTTAGGAAGAAGAATTACATATGGAATCTCAAGATATGATGGAAAGTAAAAGTGACATTCCTGTGATTATATACTAAGGCATGAGGGGCTCCAATAATTGAGATGAGATGATGGTGTTCTTGTGAAGTTTACTATGAGATAATTTGGATAGAGTAGCACCTAAAAGAAAAGGAGAATAACGTTTTTTCATGGAAATTGGTTTCATGAATTGTTTTCCATCAACGTTGACCTATAATTTATGCCGGACCCAATTATTTCATTCTTAGATCGAATGTGTTCTGTACCGCTATTAATAATCGTAGCATATTAAGTTTCTCAAAATCAGTATAAGCCATGAATAAGAAATTAAGGTCAAAGATGAGCCATGTAAAACTTGGACTATGTTGAAATTTTAGAATTCGAAATGATTGGAATTAATTTAAAACTTCAATACCATGCTTGAAGTTAAAGAGCCGCTAGTACAATTTGTATAGACATAACCCTTGTTTAAGCCCCATTATTTGGTGAAAATAGATTCTGGAATAGTGTGTGGTTGAAAAGTAGGAAAAAGTTTTAAATTTGCATGTAAAATCATTTTATTAAAAGAATGTGTATTTGAAAATGAGTTGAAGAAAAATATATTATTGAAAATGGGGGCTCAAACAAGTGCTATGTTTGGACAAATTTTTAGTCCGTACTTTAGATATCTATATTAAAATAATTGTTAAATTGACTGAAAATATGAATTTGCTGACAGAGTAAATAACTAAGGATAGTTAAAAAAAAGAAGTAATAGTAGAATAAGATTAAAAAAAGGAATCGAACCCCAACCTTGAGGGCCTCTACCGTCCCGTCCCTGGAGCATCATGAGGAAGGTAAATCGCTGAATGTGTCCCAACAGATTAGGGAACAAAAATTTGCCCGTACACTAATGTTCACAAAGAGTCCAATTTCATATCTCAAAAATCAAACTCTCACACTACGACTATCAGCAAGGTTAAGACTACCTCACTCCTATCCTTTGCACTATTTTAAGCATACTATTTTCAAATTTACCATAAAAAACATCAAGTGGAGCAATAGAAAATAAATTTCTAGCTAATTCAGGAATGTATCTTACTTCTTTAAAATTAAAAAAAATGATAATAATAACCATTTTCAAATTTTAAAGAAATACTTTCATTACCAACAGTTTTACAGGAAATGTCATTTGCTAAAGTAACAAAACCAAAGTTTCCTTCATACAATTCATTAAACGACATTTTATTTTATTAGATGACATATGAAAAGTACAACTTGAATCTAAAATCCATTTCTCGCCTCGTACTGTAAAAACGTAAAATAAAAATGCACTTTTAGAGAATAATCGTGTGCCACATGTCAATCAACAAAATATAGATTGATTCATACGCAACAAAAACGTTTATATACAGAATTAAATTACAATATATGATCAATCTTTTTATTTATGCTTATTGTTAGCTCTCCAAGACATTTCTCGTCTCATATGGTCCCATCCCGATCTCACGTATTGTCCCATTTTCTCTACACCTTGTCCATCCCTAATAAAATTATAAAAACAAATAATGTAAAGCTCAAGGCATGAAGTTGAATGATGCACCTCTTAATCCATATTGCTTTCACCAATCCTTTCAGTATTGTCTTAACCTCTGTCTACACGTCTAATGTAGTATTGAAAGCTGATTTACTATTAAATCGAACTCTTCAAAACTTTCCTTCTGATTCCAACCTCAAATTCAATTTCACAATATTCATTAGATAAATAGTACTTGCCTCTTAGTAATATGCTTGTTCATAATTTTAAGCATCAAAATGGACTTGAATTCAAGAATTAGAAGTACCCATTATTTAAATAAATACATAATAATAACTGATGAAAATTACACATTATAGAGTATAGATATAGATTTCGAGTGGGACCCATTTATTCTCTTTGGGATTCTATAATTCCCTATTTATAGTTTTATAAGGGTAAAACCATTTGTACAAAGGTGGGTTCACTGAACCTCTCCAAAAGCGACACATGACATCGCCCTATGCAGAATCCATGGATGATAAAAAATTGCAAAAATGAAAAACTGTCAACCTCTCATCTTGTGTGTTGTCTGTAGGGCTTCTGTGAAGCCCCAATATGTACACGTACTGGGGCCCTTTCTATAATCAAGATAAACTACGATGTTGCAGATTCAAACCAATTCACTTCCCCTGTTGTCAAACTCACCATGCACTGAACCTTCACATTGTACAAAATTCTTATATGATTCTTTGCAGTCAAAAGTAGTGCCTAAATATTCTCAGTCTCGTATATAATTCGAAAACGATAAGATTCTAGCACCATTACCATTTCCCATTTGATTCTTCATTATTCCATATCTTCAACAATTCATTTGATAAAGTTACATAGCAATGTTATTATATGAGCAGTATAAAATTCAACAATGGGGACATTTGTCCTTTGATTTCACAGTTTCTCAATCAGGGTTTCATCAACAACTTCTTTATATAGTTTAAGACTTCTACCACATTAACTGCCGATGCTACAGAAACAGGGGATAAGTCCGACCATGGGTTGCTCGAATTCCATCTGCATCGAATCAAAGGGGCATAATGAAAATGCTTTCTCATGAGTCGAAAATGGGTGAACAGATATATTAGTGATATCTTACTTCTTTAGTCCTTCATCCATTAGTGTATGCCCTACACAAATTCCCTGCGTTTCAACCCTTACAACTCCTTTCTTGTACGAAAAGAGATCGGGTCGGACTAATGCCACAAAACTGACAGGGTCGTGGAGGAAAATTCCTGTTCAAAACGAATATTGAAGCACCTCTTCATCAATGTTATCAAGAACAAGGACACAAAAAAAAAGTTGAATGCAGATGAACAAGTCAGTGAATGAGGTACCATAAAGCTAATCTACGAGTCAAGTACAAGTACCATGGACGCCATCAGATTTTACGTGCCAGTCCCTGTAAAATTTACATATATTGCATAAAAACTCTGCATGCCTTCCTTTCGATTGCCTTAGCTCGTCTAGGTCCTCATCTGGAAAGAGACAATTTTCGTGAGTAGATAATTTTCATGAAACCAGGCTAAAACGAATACTACAAAATATAGAAGGGGTATGAGCACCTGTCATCATCACTTGCGTCGTAATATTTATTCCAATGACATCGATATTTGCCCCAGAAGTAAACACAATATCAGCTGCTTCTGGATCCCCATAGATCTACAGGTCAAATAAGCTTTGACTTATATAGTTACATAGCAATTCTGTAATAATATTTGCATAACACCAGATTGCAGCATTAGAGATTTATTAACGCGAGTATTTCCCATGCGAAACAGAGTTTACATAACTGGCTCCAAAATGATACGAACATTGGTGTGAACATGCTTACAGACAACAACGAGCGATGGTGGAAATAACTTGCACCCTTATAATAGGCAAGACATTATTCAAAGCGGTTCAAATAAGGATCGTATACAAAAATTAAAATGGTTTGAAAAAAAAAATGTCGTCAGGTAAGAGTTGGATGCCAAATGGGAAAATTTTGTTCTTTGTACCGTTCGGTACAAAACAAGCCAAATATGTACTGCATAATGGAGAAAATCACAAAAGAATGCATGACAATGCTACAAGAAAGGTCATCTAAAAACCATGTACGACATACATTTGCTTCAGCAGCAGGATTAACGTTTCCCAATGCAAAGAATGCCCCACCAAGTACCACGACTCTTTTCACCTTTCTTGCAAAGGACGAGTCTCTCTTAACAGCCTATATCAACAAAACAATAAGGATGTTAACAAGTGCAACATCGTAAACCAAAAAGTGGAAATTTGTTAAGATGAAACAAAATAGAACGAATACAACTTACAAGAGCCAAATTTGTCAAAGGCCCCAATGCTAATATGGACACTTCACCAGGGTACTCTGAAACTTTATTTACCAAAAATTCAGATGCAGTTTTCTCGAATTTCTGGGATTTTGGAGGTGGTAATGAGATGTTCCCCAGTCCATCTGAGCCATGTACAAAGTCTGCAATACGGGGCTTTCCTCTCTGTTCCAAAATTTCAAATTTGAAAATTATAGTCAAGCTACAATAAATAGCAAGATACAATCATAGACTCAAATTCACATTTATATATCATAAAAGACCTGAAACATTGATATTTCACCCCCCGTCCACCCCCCGTTAAAAAAAAAAAAAAAAAAAAAGGGAAAAGAAAGAGAATATATGGCAGCAAGATATGAGCTCTCGTAGCAATATGCGCGACACAGAAAAGTTTCTGTGACAGTAAACCAAGCAATGTCTGGCCAAGGCCAGTTGTCAACTTGGAAATTCTGATAAATACTTAATAAAAATGTTGGACAATTATACAACAGTCATGATACAACAGAATGTAGCCAAAAGTTTCTGCTGTAATTGTCAATAACGATAAACTCACTAAAAGCTGTCAAAACCATTTAACCTCCTACATATCCAGGTCATAGAATACATGAATAACTGTGTACTGCATATGCATACAAAGTATGTTATGTGTGTGGAACACGGAATACATCTGTTACAAAGGAACATTAAAGCTATCATGCATGTCCACACATAAAGGGGAGACAAAAAAGAACTAAATTTGCTGCTGAAGCTCAATTCGTGCATAAATGTATACCTCTAAAGCTTCAGCACCACCCTCTGCCACAGGAACATCTGGATATCCAGCAATCTCACACTATTGTTTTGCATAATAAAAATAGTAATAGATCATGAACATGTTAAACGCCTGGAATTACTGAACAATTTACTGTGAAAAAAGAGAATCAAAGGGAAAACACGTACCAGAAGCAAGGCATTGCGTGTAGCATCTTCTGTAGAAACATTACCAAATATTGTTGTCAATCCTAATATCTCTAAATCGTGTGACTGGAATGCCATTAATACTGCAATGCTATCATCTGCATAAAAAAAGAAGCCTTTCACTGCATTAGATAACTAATTAGAACCATCTGAAATGCGAAAGAGAATATGCATAAATATTTAATGATGTAAATAACTTTCATAAAATGCAAAATCCAGCTTGCCAGATGCAGTGAACTATGCATTCCCTTTGAACCCAAAAACGAGAAATATGAAATTATGCATTCTCTCTCTTTAGTTCTTCAAAATCATACACGAAGTGGGCCACAATACACATTCTCATCACTTGTATCTTGTAATTACAGCATTTAGGGTAAAGATTAGTCAGCAAATGCTTACTTTTCTTCTATTTCTACATGTGAAGCATCCCTTAAGTCTATTTGCACACTTGATGATTCTTCGAAAAGACTATGAAGGTGGGAAAAAAAGTGCTTATAATCCCCCCATCTACCCCCAGTAATACCTAATGACCCCAAGATATTGTATCCAAAACTTGATGTCAGAAATATACCATAAAAAAGTGTTTGCTCTGCTAAAGAAATATAATCTTTAACTACTATGGCATGGCATTGATATTTCTGTTAATTGAAGCCATAAGACAGTCTGATGGCCAGTTCCTCACATACTTAAATAAACACAACTTAACCTTCTTTTCTCCTTTTAAACTATTAAAAGCATAATCTAAGAAACAAAAAGAAAAGATTAAGTAATGAAAAGGAAAGGTCCCCAATCCATCAATCTCCCCTAATGAATACGAACACTCAAAAAAATTCACAGGATAATACTAGTAACAAATACAGAAGAACTAAAGCCAAGAAAAGAATCTCATTACTTCTATAAACTCAAGATTTCATAACCACATCAACATTAACCTGTTCAAGTAATTATTAGCACTTAAAAACAGTTTAACTTAACGCAAGCTAATAAAACATTAGCCAAAACCCCAAAAATGAAGGGAAAAACAGTAACTAAGTAGTGCCCATTCATATCTACAAGCTCCAATAATTTAATTGAATTAGGTAATTGTACAAGCATTTTGTATCCAAATAAAAACCTATTAAAATCAATTCAATTACCGTGTACAAGAATTAAAAATAAATAATCAAGATATTAACATACCAATCCCAGGATCAGTATCAATAATAATTTTCTCACGTTTCAGGGCACAAGAACTACTGGAAACCACCATCCCATCAATCGCATCACTGTTAAGAATCGACATCACCACTTTTCACACAGCAGAGAATCAACAAAGGAGAATAAAAAAATTCAAAGAGTCCCAGAAACTGGAAATGAAATCACACAGTGAATTGGATTATCATATATATAAAGAATATCGAATAAATTATAGTTGCACCAGTACAAAGTATTTTGCTTAAAGAAATAAAAAAGGTTCGAGTGTATTGTCAGGCTGTCAGCTCCAAGTCAAAAAGGATCATAAATAGTTTAATAGCATTAACATCGTCCCCCCACGCCAACCCATTTTCTGCAGAGATATACACACATCGATATATACATGAACACGTGACCATGTGCTGTATGTATTATGGTGTTGTTTAGACCACTCTTTTGTGGAAATTGGAAAATGGCGTATGGCAAGTGGGTTTTCAATAATCTAGTGAAGGAAACAATAATGGCATGTTTGATTGGTCAATAATTCCATGGAAAGTAGTTTTATCCTTGTTTGATGGCATATATTTATCATGGAATTGGTATTCCATATTTTCACCCCGACGCACCACTTTTCCTTGTTTTCATAGAATTTCAATTCTTATAGGTATGGTAAGAATTGGAATTGTAGACAATTTTATTTTTTTTTGCCCTTTTTTTTTTTTTTTTTTTTTTGGTTTTGTTGGTCATGGAAACAAATTATAAGAATTATTGTTAAAAAAAAAAAATTCTTTTAGTTGACAATTTTCATGTAAAATAAAACCAAACGAACATCAAAAATAGATAATTTTCTTGATTTTTTTTCCTTTCTTTTTTTTGGTTGTTGGTAATGGAAACAAATTGCAACCTTAATAACAGTAAAATTTATCCCTTTAATTAACAATTTTCATGTAAAACAAAGACAAACGAATAACAAAAAATACTTTTATTTCAACATATTCCACGTGGAAAATTATATCAATCAAACAGAATAATTTATAATTCCCAGGAAAACAATTTTTAGGCAATTCAATTTCCTGAAATTCGTTTTCTTTCCATCCAAATTCCATTTTTGCAATCAAACGGACCCTAATTTTTTTTTTTTGAAGGATGTGATCTCGCTATCTATCCATAGTTAAGGTGGTTTAAGCAAGTTTTATTGTTTAAGCCAGGTTTATAAATTATTTATAAATATTAATTTATTTTTTATTGGTTCAGTCATTTTTTTTTTTTACTTATTTTTGTTAATTATTAATTTAAACTACTTATATACTTTCTAAACATGCTTTAAAATTATACTATCAAACTCATCAAGTATCACCATGTGATAGGTCCATGATCCATCAATCCACCCTCACTTGCACTTCTAATGAGTTGACTTAGTCTCAAATTGTCATGGACCACGTCAGGGGCGAACTCAGACCATTTGAACTGTGGGGTCAAAAAAAAAAAATTTCGAACAACGTATCATGAAAAAAAGGAAAAATCGGTTGTTTACTGTTCATATTCGATATGTGCACTTTGGGAAGAAATCGTTGGATTATATGATATATTTATGGACTAAATAATGGATATGGACCATGTGTTATGGATATAGATTTAGAATTTGTACTTTTTGAGGCAGAAAATTAAGTTTTCAGCATAAAAAAAAACAGAAAATTAAGTTTTCAGCACCAAAAAAAAAAAAAAAAAAGATTCAGAAAACTGTGGGGTCATTTGACCTCACATGACCCCATGTGGGTCCGCCCGTGGACCACGTCGAGCCACTAGGTGTAACTATCCTTTTATTTTTGGGTTACTTTCTAAGAAAACAAAAGATATAGTCTTTGTTTGGTTCAATTAAAAAGGTAAATTAAAATCCAATTCGAAGTCAAAAAGGAGAGCTCAAGTCTAGAGAACTAAGTACAACACAACATGTTAACTCGCAACACGACTCATCTCCAATCTACTTGGGGTTTGCTACCATGTTCACTTTCTTGAGGTTAAGAGATAGACTAGTGCTGCTTTTCTGCTTGATTTAAAGTGGAAATGTGACCCCTTTTTTCCTCATTTAGGACCCACGCGTGAGAGAATGGGTCAACAATTACGGTGGCCAACGGTAGGAATTTTTATAAAAATCTGAGGAAAATCAGGCCCAGATAGATGCTAAATGATTTCCTCTCCTCGAAAACCGGTTCATCTTGTGTACAAGTTGCTTTCTTTTGGGCTCGAATAGAGCGGTTGGTGTGTCCTTGAAGTACAGATACGATGGTTTCCTCGAAGTCGAAAGAGGCCGACATAAAATTGGTTAGTGCTTTTATGAAGTACATACGTCTAATCATTTCATATAAAAACCAAAACAATTTGCACAGAATTTATAGATGCATGGGCAGCTAGACATTGAATCTATAGATGCCATTGTCTGCTGCTTTATAATCTATGACCCACTGGTGTCATTTCTAGTTATTGAATCGTATCAGCAAAAGCCAGATAGTATAACGGTTGAACCTGAAAATTTGTTCTAATATTACACTTAGGTTCCGTTTGTTTTCCATTTTTGTAAGAATGAAAATGAAAAATATAGTCGTTATGAGTCCCACACAAGAGATAAAAATTCAAATTTAATGGATTGATTTGATGGATAATGGTCATATTTTTCATTTTAATGGGTAAAGAATGAAAAATAAACAGGGACTTATTCAAATATTAACAGGTCAAGAAAATAGGATCCATTGTCTAGTACTCTTTCTTGTTACAGTTCTGTGTAAGGATGGCAATTTGAACCGTCAAAATCGAAAATCACGATTAACCGAACCAAATGGGGCAAAAAATTCGAACTGATAGTGCAATGGAGCGGATACGGTTTTGATTTTAATGAACCGGTTCGTGGTGCTGCGGGTATGGTATTTACGCCGTCGAAATGAAGTCGAACCGATTACCCGCTAAAAAAAATAATTGAATTGATTATTGGGCTTTACACTACTTTTCTATCCAGACCAAAACAAAATCCCCTCCATTACATCTACCTAACTCAGCCTGCCAACCAACTTACCATTAGCTCATAATAATAGCATTAGGATGACAATATATAAATGCAAACCCTACTCTCCACAGATCACAAACTCACGCACGGCTTCACTACCTCCACGGTCCAAGTCGTCGTCGCCTCCAAAAATTTGTTACATTTGTTGGCCATTCTATTAGTGCTGATCATGTAAAAATAGAGTTTGATGTTTTTCTAGACGTGCCAGTATTGTCAAGGATGGATGGTTTTGATTTATTGATATGGTGGAAAGCAAATTCAATAAAATATCGGACTTTACAGAAGGTTGTAAGAGATTTATTAGCTATTCTAGTATCTGCTGTAGTATCCGAGTCAGCGTTTAGTACACGTGGTAGAATTGTGAATCCATATAGAAATAAGCTTCGCCTGAAGACTTTAGAAGCCTTCACGTGTGTTTGGGATTGGTTTTGGACTGATATTCATGGTAGGATTTATTGTTTTATATTTGTTATTTATACACTTTCTTTTATTGTTAATTTTTTTCTATTGCATGTAGAAATTTTTTCTCCTTTTTCATACTCTAGAGCTTGTGCAACATTTAGCGAGAAGGAAGCTGACGAAGATGTACATTTTTTTTTAAATATTAGTTAAGACCATTCTAGAATAGATACTATCGTTGTATTCTATACTTACATTCTTATTTACCATATATGAATCAACTTTGAGTGCTGATCTATGCTAATAAGACTTGTAGGGAAGAATAAATCAAGTAACTTCGATTCACAACAATTAAGAATTAAGGAAAAGTTTAGTATTGTTATATTTATAATATTATTTGTTAAATTTACATTTTACAATTGAAAATTAGGATAATGTTTGCATTTTCGTTTGTAATATTGTTTGATAATGTTTGCATTTTCATTTGGAATATTGTGTTTTTGTTTTCATTGATTTTTTTCATAAATTGTTTTATACTAATTTGACAGATGAACCTATAAAAAATAATTTATTTTCGTGGTTACTAACCAAATCAAACCGTGCCGGACTGAAATACAAATCGAACCGATTTACGTGGTTATGATACGATTATGGTATTGGCCGAACCGACCCATAACCTAACCATTGCCAACCCTAGTTCTGTGCCTTTTTCAGTGGTAATTTTTAAACCATCCTTGCCATATAATCAGGGGCGAATTCAGGGGTTGAGTTCAGTTAGGTAAATCGCGAGTGTTGAAAGCTTACTATAGACGGCCAACATTCGTAATAGTGAGGTTGTTTATTAATATTTAATTAAATGTCATTCAAAAAATCGTGTGGATTAGAACTATATACACCACTAGAACTAGAACTCTGTGTGAACTTTTATTTGAATGAAAAAATCGTTCCATAATCTGTAAAATGCTCTAATTTATTTTTCAATTAAATAGTGTATATATATTAACAAAATGCTAATATTCAGTTTACAATATAAGTTAATTAAAAAGCATTATTATCTTAACAAAATTGAAATTATTTATATCCTTGTATCAATATTATGTGCTTGTATGATTCCACATTTTCACAATTGATTTTTTTGTGAACAAAAAGTGGAACCTTTTATTAATTAAATAAGTTTTATTGAAAGATTCCTTATGATACTAAGGTCAATTTTTCTACAAATTTATCCACTATTAATTGACCAAACTCCCAAATCAATTGATTAGAGGGAAAAAGGAGAAAAAGAAAATCAAGAGGAAGGACAAAGCACCTGTTAAAATGTTTCTATTTGCATTGAATTAATAAAATTGAACATATATTATTTTGTTACATTATATGCTATAAATCAATAAGTGTCATGACAGTAAAGTGGTCAATATATTTAAGGAATGTAGTACATTTGTCTTGAAGAGTTTCAAACATAGAACCTCCAATTCAATAATAAAAGGGCTAGCCAACTGAGTTACTAGAAATCTTTGTTGTTAATATGAATTATCAAATATATAATTTAAAAATTCTACCTATTATAAAAAAAAAAAAAAAAAAAAAATTCTCCCCCGACGAATTCAGCTGGGGCGGCTGCCCTAACTTGCCACCTTCTAAATCAACCCCTCCAAATAACTTGTCGATTACCTGTGAATTTCGCTACTAACTATTGCTAAGATTAGTAAATCGGTTCGTGTAAACATTAGGACAATACAAAAAATGTTATTGACCCATACAACATCGAAGTTAATATTCATCCAAGAAAAAACTAATAATGAGATTAAGGATTCATCAAGCTTCCTCAAATCCTTCGAAGAACAAAGGCACCAAGAAAAACAAATCACCAGGAGCTACTTAGCAAATTATACTACCTGACATAGACATAGCAAATTATACTACCTGACAAACAGTTCTCGTGGAGTGAAAAGGTGTGTCAACAATGACAAGTATATCACGTAATAGAGGTTTCGAATTTTAAATTGAAATGTCGCCTTTCCACGGTTTCTAGGCACTAACATCTTGGCAAACATAGGATGAAGGCACTTTAAATTTAGGATCCATTTGACTGCAATGATAGAATTTGGGTAAAAAAAAAAACAAATTCTCAAAATTGAATTGTTTAGAACTTGTTTTACTGAGAATTTTAATTAAATGTGTTTGATTAATATAATTTTTTACCTAGAAAATGTTGAAATTTTGTATCTTTTGTTATTCGTTTGGTTTTGTTTTCCATAAAAATTGTCAATTAAAAGAATATGTTTTTTTACAATTGTGCTTAGAATTGTTCCCATTGTCCCAAAAAAAACATAAATAAATAAAAAGAAACGGAACCTGGAAATTGATTTCCAATTTCCACAAAATCATGGAAAATGGAACTCTTTTGTGGGGGTGGGGGGAAGAGAATTCATTTTCCATGTAAAATTTTGCCATCAAACATCACAAAATGGGTGGAAAATTTCAATGGACATTTGGGCTTCTCATACAAGGCCTTAATGTAATTGCCACAACGTCTACTAATTTTTTATTTTTTATTTTTAACTACCATAACCTATCCAATTTATCATACTGAGCATGACATATTGTTTAATGTGGAAATTACACAATACCATACTTTAAGCATTCAACATTCAAAAATCATATGGGAACTTTAATATTTCTAAAATCAGAAAAAAAATATATTAATTATTTAATTTATAAACTAACCCTAACCCCCATCCACCCCTAAATAATTTCCCCCAAACCATTCCCTCTCTACATTTCGCGCTCTGATCTCTCTCGCCTATGAAGAATGGGCGGAGTTGGCGTCGCACCTCTGTTGGCATCGCACTTCTGCTGTGGTTTCGGGAAGACCTTGGTGTTGGCGACGCGACTGTGGTGATGTGGGCAACGCTATTAGGTTCTGTGAACGAGGTGCTGCTGATGGTTGTGAGGCAGTGCTGGCGTAGTCGAATTTATGGTTTTGTATCTGTGGCGCCGTTGATGGATGTGAGGCGATGTTGGCATGGCGACGAGGTGGTGCCGGATTTGTGGTTTTGGATTAGTGGTTGCCGGTGGGGTTCGTGGTTAGATATGGTTGGATTTGAGTTTTGGATCTGTGTTTTGGTGGTTGCCACTGTCATTGGTGGTGCGGTGCGGTGCGATGTGTTTGGTGGGTGAGTGGTGATGTGCAGTGGTGGTGGGAACGGTGGTTGCGATTGTAGTGGTGATGGCGGCGTGGTAGATTTGTGGAGTTCTGTGGTTAGTCTGTCGTGATGGTGAGATGTGGTAGGGATGGTTATGGTGCTGCGGTGGCAACAGCGGTGTTGGTGTGGCGGTGGTGGCGGCGATGGCGTTGATAATTTTGGAGTTGATTTTTTGTTTAAGACTATAGCGTTGTTGTCGGTGATGGTACTGGTGGTTCAGGCGATGGTGTTGTTGAAGGGAGTGGTGGTTTGGTGGTGGTCACATATTATTTGATTGATCGTGACCATTAAATTGGTTAACCTGTAATCAATAAACAATATGTTACCACTAAAAATGATAAATTATGATCAAGAATAGTGTGTGACCTAAAAAAAAATAATATATGACCTATAATATTTGTTATCTGTGACTTATGTGACCAACAAACAAATCGTGACCTACAAAATTTTTGAATTGTGGCCTTAAAAAATCTTCATTTGTGATCGAAAAATAATTTGTGACTTATAAAATTTTTTATTTGTGACCAATAAATTGATAAGTGTGACTAAAAATTAATTAGTGACTAATTAATTTTTTTATTTGTGACCAATGAACAAACTATGACCTACAAAATTTTTGAATTATGATCGTAAAATAATTTGTGACATAAAATTTTTGATTTGTGACCCAAAAATATAAGTGACAAATTAAATTGTTAATTTGTTACCAAATTGTATAAATTTGTGACTTAAATATATTTAATAAATAAAATAATTAATTAATTAATTAAATCATAAATAAATTTTAATAAAAATCTGATTTTTGAAGTTTGAAACTTGTTTTCTTAATTTTGAAATATATGATACATAAACTCTTAGTTAGGAAATTTTCCCTTGTTTAATTGGTATGAAAGAGAAATATCAAATTATTACAATTTCATGGGCGCTCCCAAAATAATAATAGTCAGTGTTTGTTATTGCATGCAAGTACAAATATTCGGTTCACGTTATCTTCAAACTTTGTTTGTTACATTGACTAAAAGTTACATATATGACTCTACGTGCACGACTACTTTAATTAGGTAGCATATTCATATCCAACACTTGTCGGACAATTTTTCATAGTCATTTTTCCTTTTTTATCAGAAATGTTATATATTTTTAACTCGGAGTTATTATCAATAACATAGAGATACAGCTCGTATTTAAAATATTTCAAAAAGAAAAACTAATAACAAGTATAAAATTAAATTTAAACTATATAAATAAAGAATTTTAAAAAATTTAATCAATGTGTCGACGAAGCCTCGAGTCTTTACTTTTTTGAAAAATCGTGTATCGAAACATTTGACACGTATCGTATTAGATGTACGTGTCTGTGTCAGTGCATCATAACTCTATGTACTAACTAATAAGTATTAAGCCATTTGTACAGAAATTTTTCCACAGAATTTGGCCAGATTACTCTCATGTGTGGAACCTATCGTGAATAAAAAATTGCCAAAAACCACCCCCACCCACCCATCCCCCTATGTGTGTGTTCAGACAAACTTCTATATGGAGTCTGCCTGTACACACAACATCATTGAACTAATAATTACTGATGCTGCAATGAGAACACTATTCGATGGCTGCCACCGCGCCGGTTCCCTCAAATTGAATACTTGTGCCGCAACGAGAAGGGAGGCCAACTTCATGACTACATGGGCTGTTAGTTGTGTTTCGGGATGAATTTGGCTCTGCATTAACTATGAAAACTAAGCGATTGCTTGGCATATGTTGTTGGAAAAGGCTGAGGCATTGATAATCGGAGATTGATAGTTTTTGCTACAGAAATTGGGTTTCAGATTGCAAGGGTTGACTATGACTCTCTTAGGGACGTAGAAAGCTAAGTTTAGATTTTCAGTGTTCCGCCAATGCTTCTATAGATGCAGACATTAGTTCAACACTAGACGATTTTCATAGTGGTTCTTGTAATTTTATTCTTCGTGAGGAGAATAAGGTAACCAACGTAGTTGCATCTTTAAGTATGTTGCTGCCTTTCTTCTTTTAATAGTTAGAAAGAGTACTTTCTTACTTGGGAACAGAACACTAAGGACGGCTTGGGGAGAGGTAAACTCATTTTTCCAGGTTAGGTTATCGGGAGAGTTTCAAGGAAACTGAAAGTTACAAGTTCGACCCAAAAATCACCAAGGGGGGGTGAACGCGGAACTAATATAATCAAGGAATAAACTCCTTGTACAGACCCATTTGCACAGGGTCTGTACAGGGCCCCTCACATGGGTGTGAGAGCATCTGTACAGACTCTGTGCAAATGAGTCTGTACGAATAGCATTTCTCTATAATCAATTAAAAGCAACAAATCATTTTTTAATTGTTCTAAATGTTTACTCAATCAAATCAAATTTATCCTATACTAAATTGCCAAACTAATTAATAAAGCAGTAACTAACGCAGATTTGTTGACGGGAAAATCCTTTGATGATTAAAAACTTCGTGACCAAACCAGTAACTTTCACTATAAACAATTAAAACTTACGGTATGATCCAATCTAGAAAATTCTTTAGACTCACTGATCTAATTCCTGCAATCTCCAAGACCCGCTAGAATGTACTTCACTCACACCTGTTTGTGTCTTCTTTCTGTGCTTCTAGTCTAACCTCCCTCAAAGTTTAATAACCTTTGAAAGCTATTGAAAAAGTAGCTTCCTGGTTATGTTTAAGAGGTGGGTGTTTTGAGATATGTGATCCTGATTTTTCTTTTTTCCTAACTTGTGATTGATTGATCTCAAGATGCAGAATAGGTTTTTTTTCTCTCCAAAGGATGTTATGCCATTTTCATGAAGTGGGACGTGAGTATACATGGTAGAGAGATATTGGTAGTTGGGCAGATAAAACTCTTGAAAAATGCGAATTAAGATTTCTCGAAACACACCATTGCTCAGGTGAGAGGTCGACGACAGGCAAGTGATAGGTACTCCACTCGAGCGATAGGTAGGCAACAGACTAGTGAAAATGTTAATGTTTTGGATGCTCAAGCAACAATTTAGCGATAGGCTAACATAATTTCAGCAACTTTTTCTTTTGTTCCATAGACAACCCCAAAAAATCATAATTCATCTATACAACCTACCAACAGACTCTTTGACTTTTACAATACTTTTATGATAATTGTTTTATCTAAAGAATAGTCAATACAATTAAAACCCAACAAAAACTACCCCTAGAATAAGAGGTAAAAACACTCGGTTATGTGCTAGTTTAGATTTCATTATAAATTGTTAAAATTATAATGTGACAGAATAAGTGATAAATAAGTAGAGAGTGATTGTAAAACCTATCAAATGTGTAGTTAAATTTAAATTTAGATTTAACATTTGAATTATAATGAAAGGCATAGATATCTTATTCTTATCCATTAGCTGGTCATTGTCAAAATATAATTGCTAGTAGCCTGCTGGACTCAAAGTTAGTTCGAAACAATCCAAGCAAATCATTGCGAATCTTTGGACGGGTTGATCCCATCATCATTCAGATGAAGCTATGCCCCTAAAAGAAGATATCATAATGCATAATCATAGTAAAATTGAAGAAGAACAACAATAAATTCTTGCGAATAAAAGAAGCCTTCCATGCTTACACAATCTTCTGTCCAAAATCTTATTTTACTGCTAAGCTATCATAAGAAGAAGCCCATTATTTTCAAATTCAAAGGCTTCCTAGTTCCTTTTTCAGTCGACCCGCTCTTTATGCGCTTGTAACGGTAGACAAGAGCCTTCTTCAAGATGTTTTTTTACAAAACTAGAGAGTCTAATAAACAAGAACCGCTAAAGGGCTATGTTACAGTTTATTCTTATCTTGAAGCATAGACAAAAGAAAGGACAAGAATCCATTTTTGTTAAGAGTGCAGATTAAGAAATATCAATATTCTTCTACTTTTTTCCCACTATTAATTCTCGAAATATAGTTTATATCCATGTTAACTAGTTTCTTAATTCTTCGATATCATCTAATAGGTCCCTGTTTTTTGGCAGTTTTAGTTCACAGAAATGGAGAAACTGAACTCAAAGCTGTATATGGAGAACTGTCATATAATGAAGGAGAATGAGAGACTGAGGAAGAAGGCAGAGACTCTCAACAAAGAGAATCAGGCACTGCTCATTGAGCTCAAGCAGAGGCATTCAACAGCCAATCAAGGGCCGAACTCCAGCTCAAACTCAAAATCTTCCAAATAAAGCGAGAAAAATGAATTGACATCAGTGTCCACCCACCAGGATTCTTCGTTATTACCCGCCTGTAATTCTAGGAGTACTAAAAATTTTCAGTAGCATTAGTTGGCAGTTTCAATTACAAAAGTTAAGTTATCCAGTCCAGCCGAGTTAGGGATGAAGGGCATTGCATTTTGCCATCCCTCTATATATGCTGCATAAGAAAGAGGTGAAGGTGAGTGGGTAAATTGTACTTCTGAACTAGAAAGACGCAAAAAGTTGAACATCTAAAAAATATATATATATTACAAACTATTCTTACTTTTGTACATTAGACTTCGTTGGGTATATTTGGCATGTTAGTTGCCTGACAAATTTTAACACACATTTTCATGTCGAGTCCAATGCATCAAATAACACTTGAAATAGTCAACCACCCATCAGAAAAAACATAAAAAGGCAGATAAAAATAGAAAAATATAATACTAAACTTAGTCATCACATTGTTTTCAATGCTAAAGTTACACTTTCTACTAAATCCAGAGATCACTTCACCATAAGTTCAAATTGTTACCTCCAATTACAATACCTATGCCAACACTTTCTATTAATCCATAGATGACTTCACCACAAGTTCAAATTGTTAGCTCCAATTACAATAGCTATGCCAACACTTGCAATTATCTGTCATGCTGTTAAATAATTGTGGATTCGTTAAGGGAAAAAGCAGCCAGAAGAAACCCATCACCCCTGCTATAAATGCCAAACTCACTATTAATCCTGAAAACAATCAAAAGATGTGATCGGAATAAACTCAACAGATACAATATAATATGTAGTTCAGTAATGAGCAAACAAGCAAGTTAGGCGGACATCACATGGCAGGAAAGTTTATTTAAATTTAAGCCAGAGATATAAAAAGGCCAAATGCAATTCTGCATCAGTTGCTTGTTGGTAGAATACCACCAACTAGATTAGACTAACACAATTAGCGCATATTTTGTACACAGCATTGAATACAATAAACAAGATTTTCATTGTTATTTAATACTGTTCAGTCCAGCTTACCAAACATGCTACAATATTCTACCACACTTGATTTCATACTTTCAGAATTATGTAAATCTAGTTTCAGACAGACTGTAGATTGCGGAGAAAGAAGCCTATTTGAATCAAATGAATATAGGAATAACATATCTAGGGAATAGGAGTGCAAGAGGAATTGTAGCACCTATGGTCCTTCCACTAAATATAAAATAATAAGATTGAAGTTTTAAAAACTGAATATTAGAAATCCATCTTCAGGTCCCAATACTTCTCCCAATTGCTCAATTAAGAAACTAATTAGCTGGCTCTACCAGAATATCTTATCATTCCTACCACCCCTAAGCAGTTAGTAGGTAAGAAAATAAGATAGCAAGAACTTTGATAAAACAGCACAATCGAAATCTATCTTTAGGCTCCAATACTTCTCCCTGTCAGTTAAGAAAACTTGATAGGTGGTTCCTCCAATATATCTCATCATTCCAACGACCATCCTACAATATATCACACCGTTCCAACCGCTCTATGTGGTTCAACAGTCCTTGACCACATGCAGAATGCAGAAAATTAACTACATGCAGCTACACCATGACATTAACTTCTGCCACAGCTTCCATCTCTAAACAATTAGAGCCTCAACTTGAGATCAGCAAGATTAAAATAGCATGAGAATCAACTACATGCAGCTACACCATGACATCAACTTCTACCACAGCTTCCATATCTAAACAGCAAGATTAATTTCTCTCTTGGGAAACGAAAACAACTAAAGGAACCTTCATTCAAGAACCTTATTTATGGATATGTGAATCAACACAGAAAAGCTAAACAAACACGGAGGTTTATACTATACAAAATACATTCACTTCCCCACGTGTAGTTTTCCATATAGCCAAATCATAACCAGCCTTTCTCAATTACAAGGTGGAGGGGTCTATTAAAATAGCATGTCAGCGGGATCAAGATTAATTCACATACCAGATCTATGTGAAACTATCGCAGGCAAGCCCATGAAGTTGCAAAATATATGAGCAACGAGAGGAGCAACAAGATGACCTGCAGTTTGAAAAATGTCAAGGTAAATCAATCAAAACGTAAAGTACTCCAAATAGAAAAAATAATCACGCAAAGAAAAAATAAGAAACCTCAACATAGTCATCGAAACCAACTACCTCGTTAAATCTAAACAGATTTCTATTATATTTTGACTGACGTATAAGCTAATTTTTCCGGAGGGGACAAAAAAAAAAAAAAAAAAAAAAAAAAAAAAAAAAACA